GTCACCCCCAAAATTCGGATGTTTGTATGCTTTAAGCTGTCCCAGAGGCTCCTTACACTATCCTCACACTTTTGGATTCTTCTTTCTTTTTGCCTCTCTGGTTAGGTGTTTTTTGCTTCCTCATACTCCAGATCCTTGGTTTCACTCTTGGGGTACATTGATCTACAGTTGAGTTTCTGTATATTCTTTATTTCAGACAGTGTATGCTTAATTTCTGACTGGTCCTTTTCCTTTTTTTTTTTTTTTTTTTTTTTTTTTTTTTTTTTTTTGTACTCTCCTTAAGATCCTTGAGGTCTCTTCAAGTTTCTCAGAAGTTTTTAGAATATTCTTGAGTAACCTTAAAAATGTGATTTTGAACTCTGTGCTGTCCAGTAGTTTACTTTCCTCTATCTCTCCCATTCATGACATGCTTCTGAGTCCCACATTTTGGTTGCCTCCCTGTGTTGATGGAGTAACTTTGTGTGGTAGGTGACCTATAGGGGCCAGTAGCTAAGTTTCCGCAATCAGCCGAGGTGGTTGCTCTTGGTATACCCCTTTGTGGGCTGAGTGCAATGTCTTGGTGTAGTTAAGCCTTGATTGCTGTTGGTACACTGGGAGAAATTGACCTCCAGGCCAACTGGCTGTGAGGACCCGCTGTGTTTATAATGGACGAACTGCTGCACTGGAGACAATCTTATAGTACAGGCCTTGTTTCAGTGGGGCTTTGATGCTCAGAGCCGGCCTCCCAAATGTGTCACTTATGGATGTGAGGACTTGCAATCTGGTGTCTCACACTGACCATTAGATACACTGGCTTCTGGATCTCCAATGGGGTGCAGTTCAGCTACTGTCTGAGGCCACACTGTAGGAACTACAGTGAGAACCACAGCCCTTTCCTCCTTGCTTGCAGCTTGGAGGCTTTGGAGCTGTCTGCACCAGGTTGCAAGTTTGTTAGGTTAAACTGCAATAGAGAAGGCCATTCATATGCAAAAGCCATTGTTTGGAGCTTGGGTGTGTTTGCAGATTGTGCAGGACTGAGTTTCAGGGCAGAGTCTCAGGGTGTCACTAGGCTAGGGCATGGCCAACAGTGATGGCTGCCAGTCAGCCATCTCTGCCTCTCTGACCATGTCCCCGTATCTCGTGCCCCAGCACAGCAAGCAAGCCACCCTCACTTTCCAACCCAATGGCAGACAGTCCAGATTTTTTCCAGAAACTGGATTTCAGAGAGATCGGGAGCTTATCTTTTTTCGGGTTGAAGAAAGCAATTTCCTCCTCCAGCCAGAATCCACTGCCAGCCCATATCGAGTGCATGCCCTCGTACCTCAGTTTTTTAGCGCTTATGCCCAGAATGCTCCTTTATCTTTCAGTCTAGTTGTAGAGCTTCCACTCAGCCAGTTTTCCCATGGTTCTGGACGATAGACATTTTGTCTTTTAATTGTAGTTTTGAAATTGTTGTGCACGGCAACAGTTTAGGTGTGTTTACCTAAGCCGCCATCTTGGATCTCCCTGGGTTTGTTATTGAAGCAGGAATTTTGGGGGAACATAGGAAGGCTTAGGGATTTTTTTAGAATTGGGGTCCAGGAAAACCATGGGGTTGCAGACTAGAAGAAGGTACGTTTCCATAATACAAAAAGCCAGATGCAGTTACATTTCCATAACATAATGAGGCAGCAACAGGTATCCTATCTAATAAAAGAGTAATATGCAAATTGTGGTACCTCTGCTATACACACAAGCTATGCCCACCAGCCATGCCCAGCAGCCAATCAGGAGTAAATAGGCAAATAAACCCAACCAAAATGGCTGCAGCCCCAGAGAGCAGGTGGGAGGCTTGGGTTTTCCCAGCAATGGAGGAAGCCAAGCTTTACGCCTGCCCTTGCTGTCTCAGGCCTCTACTCAATGCTACAAAGTTTCAATGATAGAAGATAAATAAATCCCAACAAAAATGGTGGCAGCCATGGAGCTGGAGAGAACAAGAGGCTAGGACTGCCTCTGGAGATGGAGGAAGCCAAGATTTCCACCTATCCTAGCCAGCCCAGGCCTCTGCTTAAGGCTACAACGTTTCAATTATAGAAGATAAATAAATCCCAGATACCAGGGCCTCTGCTTAGGTGGCTGGGGGGTGTGGCTAGCCTGCAAACCACCACAGGCTCCTCGCCCAGGCTTCCCCACATCCTAAGAGAACCCCCACCCTGATCTGGGACACCCTTAAGGTAAAACCAACCGGCCCCCACCTGTGCACCAGGCCTCTCTCCTATCTAATAAAAGAGTAATATGCAGATTGACTATCACTCCAACACACAAGATGGCTGCTTTCATGTGATCAAAGATCTTGCCCCTATATGGACACAAGATGGTCACCACAAGATGACCAGCAGGGGAGGGCAGTTGGGAGGTATCAGGCCTTTAAGGGAGGGTAGTTGTGGGCAATCAGGCCAGCAGGGGAGGGCAGTTGGGGGTGACCAGGTCTGCAGGGAAGGGCAGTTGAGGGGGACCCAGGCCTATAGGGGAGAGTAGTTTTGGGTAACCAAGCCCGCAGGGGAGGGCAGTTAGGGGTGACCAGGCCTGCAGGGGAGGGCAGTTAGGGGCAAATAGTCTGGCAGGGGAGCAGTTAGGCATCAATCAGGCTGGCAGGGGAGTGGTTAGGGGTAATCACGAAGGCAGGCGGGCAAGTAGTTGGGAGCCAGCAATCCTGGATTGTGAGAGGGATGTCTGACTGCCCATTTAGACAGGCAGTCGGACATCCCTCAAGGGGTCCCAGATTAGAGAGGGTGCAGGCTGGGCTGAGGGACAATCCTGACCCCCTGTACAAATTTTGTGCACTGGGCCTCCAGTATTTACATAAGACAAGGAACTATAAGTAGCCAAGAAAGGTCTATATTTACAAAATAAAGAGAGGGAAGCCCTTCATTCAAAAGGAGAGGAAGAAAGCCCAAAGGAAATAGGAAAACAATAAGGAAGGAGTAAGAGGTGGGAAGAGAACTTCAAATGTCCCATGTGAGCTAAGGGAATAGTGACCAATCAGAGGGGATATCAAGGCACCAGGATCTGCAGCCTTTATAAGCCGTTGGGAAGAAAAACCCAGTGGTACCCTTTTCCCCTTCCTACTTGGGAATCAGTTCTGTGGGACTCTTCCCTCTTCCCATGTGGGTGTCTGTACTTGTTCCTCAATAAATTTCCACCTTTGCTATACCACTTTCTGTCTGTGGATTCATTCTTCAATTCCAGCAGACAAAGAATCTGGGTTCCAGTCCAAAAATTTGTTATCATTATTTGTGGAGCTCACTGGACTTTGCTTAGATGTTGTTTCTGGCCTTTTGGTATCTGGGTCCCAGTTTTCCCAGACAATTCTCTGGTGCAGGCCAATGTGTCTTGCTATCTCTATCTGGTTCTAGGAAGCCTGGCTGAAGCCTTGCAGGGCCGAACCCCAAGTATTCTAGTGGGCAGGGCCTCCCTAGCTTAGAGGCTTTTTTCGCTTCAGGGTTGGTCCCTTGAATATACTTGTTCTGGGCTGCTTTCCCTTTCTCTGTGGAACTGGAATCTCTGGGGTATTTTGCCCTGGTTTAGGTGGTTTTAGCACATTTACATTGGAACTAGTGCCTGTAGCTTGTAGGATGGGCGGGGGGCGGGGGGGGGGTGCGCTTCCTCTCCTTCCAATACCTCTGCTCTGCCTGGCTCCCCTTTGTTGCCACCTATAGTAGTTGAAGATTAAAAAAGAAAGAAAGAAAGAAAAACAGCTATGCTTGGCTCTCTAATTTTCAGTATAGCTGGTTCTCACTGGGTAGGGCTTCAGCCCAGGCTTCTATCAGGCCAGAGGCCCAGCTGCTTGGTTGCAGATTCCCAGCCCAGAGCCCTTCAACATGTTGGAGAATGGGTGCCTCCTTTCTACTTGAAATGGTAAGGATTTGGCTTCTTTTTCAGAATACCCTGACTGGTCTTCATCCTGCTCCTACTGAATGTTATTTCAGAAGATTCAATGCTGGGTGGTCCCCTCAGACTCCTCTGCTGATAAGTATTTCTGCTGAATGGACCCTTCCACAGATACTGATGGGGAAGTTTTCCAGTAACTGTTATAGTGTACCCTGAATCTCATAAAAGACACCTCAATCAAGAAGCTGAATTATGGAGTCATTTATTCAAAGCCAGCAGCTTATGAGGGGGCAACAGCACTCCAAATATCACAACCCTGAAACGCTGGCTTCATCTGGCTTATGTAGGTAGAATATCACAAAGGTATCAACTACATCTTTGGGTTTGGAATGAGGAACCTGGTTTGCACAAAGCAGTTATAGAATCAAAATTGAGCAAGTTTGTTATCTATAAAGATTAAGAATAGTTTTGGGTCTATGGATCACTGAATCAATAGAAACACATTATCTGGAGCCAATGAGGCAATTTAGAATAATTGTTCTGTCCTGGTCTCAGGACCACTGAGTCAACCAGAATGCATTATCTGTAGCTACTGAGACAATTTAGGGTAATTGTGCTGTCCTGGTTCCCAGGCACAGAAGAATGTGCTTCAATAACCAGTAAGATCACAATGAATGGATATTCAAACCACTATCCATGGAGTATTCAATCGATTATGATAATATAAATCAAAATAACTTCAGAAAATCAAAATAACTTTTCTAATGTTTTAACAAGCAAATAAGTACAGAACCAAAAATAGCAGAGTTAAAGTTAAAGTTAAAACTGCAGTTGTCTACCTGAGAAGCACGAACTTTTTGCCTGGGATAAGGTGGTCTAAGCATCCCCACACTATCCCCTGTGGATTGAATTACCACTGATTTCCATTGTTCAATGCTATGTGGGCTCCCCTGCGCTTCTTGTTGCTCTGGTTTGGGACTATCTGCCTGTAGCTGAGACCCCATGCTCCCAGAGGACAGGAACTGCACTGAGGTAACTTTCCTCCAGTTTCTCACACATGCTGAGCAGCTATGATATTTGACTCACCCACATCTTTCTCCATGTTCCTCACTCCTTTATTTCTGATTAACATTTTTCATCTGTTTTTTCAGGTTGAATAGCCACAGGTCTGGTTCATTGTTGAAAGCAAGCACTTCCTTAGAGTGCAGACTCTGTTACTGTTGGTCTTTCTCTTTATATCTATCAGATTTGCTTTATATATTTTGGTGCTGTTATGTTCAATTATGTCCATATTTTAAAATAATTTTATTTCTGAATAACTTCTTGAAAACTAAAAATAAATTTCCATAATAAAAACAAAATCCCTCTGAAAAACACACACACACAAAAACCCCTACAAAGTCTTAGCAAGACCTGCAAGAGTGTGTGACATTTAAACAACAATCTGTTTCCTCCCTCCACCTGTCCTACTTGCTGCCTTCCTAAACAACTAGGGAAAGACCTTGGTCCCATTATCTAAAATAAATAAAATTTTAAGATTCAGACTTTGTACATGCATCAAATATCCTTCCAATTTTTCTTTCTTTCTTTCTTTCTCTTTCTTTCTTTCTTTTTTTCTTTCTTTCTTTCTTTCTTTCTTTCTTTCTTTCTTTCTTTCTTTCTTTTTTTCGTTTCTTTCACAAATAAACAGTGTATAAATTACCTTACCTAATTGTGCCAATTCCAAAGCCCATATTTTGTAAAGTTCATACAAAGTTAGCAATTGCATTCTTTTTTCATGTGTTTATCTTACCATTAACCCAATCTATTGTTATCTTTAATTCAACTATTATATTTTTCATATGTAATATTTTAATTTGGTTCTTTTCTGTGATTTCTTTGCCTTGGGTTTTATTGATAACAATATTTTCCTAAACCTGTAAGGATATTTATTGTGCTTATTAAATTTTTTTTGGTCTGTCACTTCCAATAACTCTATGTCAAATAATATATAGTGTTCAATCTGTTGTATTTCTCATATGGTGATAAAACTCCTTAGGTGTGTAGTTATTTTGGTGTGTGTGCTCATATTCCCTATGGGTTAGCAGCTAATTTGTCACTGGTAAAGTGCACTGGAGAAGAGCTGAAGTCCTTGTAGGTTCAAGGAGAATGAATGATGACCTGAGAGCAGAGGGCCTCAGACACAAAAGAGCCGCTAAATCTTTTCTCCATGCTTCCACCCTCAGGTAACTCCTGGGCTTCAACATTAAAGCCTTAGCAGTGGTTCTCAACCTTTCTAATGCTGCGACCCTATAATACAGTTCCTCATGTTGTGGTGACCCCCAACCATAAAATTATTTTTGTTGCCACTTCATAACTGTAATTTTGCTACTGTCAATGAATAGTAATGTAAATATCTGTGTTTTCTGATGGTCTTAGGCGTCCCTGCTAGCACATGGCACCTGAGAAGTATCAGGCAGCATTTATTATGATAATTTGGGGGTGGGAAGGAACCAGGGCATAGGGAGTGGGCCTTCTCACCTACCTTCCTTCTCTGTTAATGGGTTTCATCAGGAACTCCCAATGGGCTGGCTCCCATACACTCTGCACTCTGACCTCAGTTTTATTATTTGAGGTCTTTCCTTGCCACGAACCAGAAGAAATTCTTGGCCACACTTTGGACTTGTTAGCTCAAACCTCTCAAAAATAGCCTAAGAGCACCTGGGAATGGGCCTGAAGCACCTGGGAATGGACTGCATTACAAGGAAGAACAAAGACCTCTGAGCTCTCTCAAGAGATTTGGGTTAAATTCCTATTCTTCTGTTTCCTATGCATGTGACCTCAGACAAGTTACTTAACCATGCTAGGCCTTGGGTCCAGATCTATAAAGAGACCAAACCTATATAAAAGTACTAGCATTGAGGCTTGTCTCCGGCACCAGAGAAGTAGAGCTGTGATTTGGCATATTTGCAGAGTGGATGGGAAATGTATTTTCATTCACTGAGTTAGGGGTGCCCAAGTAATTCTATCAAGGGGCAAGCACTCACATCACTCCATGCTCTACAAAGAAGCATGGCTGTTGATGAACAGGCAGAGGTAACTATGAAAGGAATCCAGCATAAAGGTTACCACCAACTCTCCCTAGAATGACCACTTTCCAAGGAAAGTGGTCATTCTAGGGAGAGTGAGTGGCCAATGCTCCAAATCGGAACTGACCAAATGTTGACCAGCCTCATAACTGAGGCTACCATCAAAGAAGGAATGCTTTTCTTCCCACTTCCAGACACTGCTGAGCTGGAAATAAAATATCTATATGTGGGGTAGAGGGCTTAGAGCCAGCAAGATTCTGGTGATTGTGTGCATGTGACTTCAGCTGTTCTCATCTACTGGCAAGGGTCTGGACTATTTGAGTGACAACAGGGTTGGAAAGAATTTGCACAGAATACCTGATGGCACTTTGGACACTAAGTAACTAGAGGCTGCTCCCACATTGTCAAGGGGATGGAGGCTATGTTCATGAGGCCCTTATGAGAGTTCTGCTAACTAATTAAGAGTCTGTGACCCAGACATGTTTGCAGGGGGAAGCTTAGGAAATGACTTATGGATTCAGTGCTGGATCAGTAAGTACTGGGTTAGATAACCCTCAACCACTACAGGCTATGGCAAATTCACAGGAGATGGTGGGCCTGGTCTCTGGAGACGTGTGGAGAACAAGGTTATTGGTATAGAGGGATTGGCTAAGACCTGGTTCCTAGAGCAAAGTTCTTAAAACTGCTGGCTGGGATCCTGAACAGTCTACCTCAAATGGAGCCTCTGTGACTTTTGGGCCTGGAAGATTCTTCTTCATTGCCAACTCAGAGTCCATCTCTAGGAGGACTCTGTTTCCATTATATTGGCCATCAGTGCCCTATATGTCTTAGGGAATGTCATTTCCTTCACAGGGTGAGGCCTTGGCCCCAGAGACTGCTAGCTCTTCTGGGAGTCTTCCTGAGGAGAATGACTCATCTCTAGATGGCCAGTAAGCCACCCATTGTCTTAGTATGTATTTTTCCACCTCAGTCTAGAGAGAAGGGAGACCTTCCTGTACTGAGGAGCTTCGAGCCCAATAGGGTGGGGTTAGTGTGTAGCTCTGATAGATCAGAAACAGGAGCAGGAGCCTGTTAAATTATTTTTATTTTGTCAATCCTAAAGTAGGCCTCAGGTGGGCAGGAGAGCTCAAAGATGGACAGATTTAAGAGAATGAAGGGCCTATTGGCACTAAAGCAAACATGCTTGTGGATGACAACTGGAAAGGAGCACCATGTGGTCTGTTACAGAGTCCTGAAGGAAATCAGCAGCAGAGGGAAAGTCTGTGAAAACACCAGGGTTGTGCAGCTCCTGGGCTTGTGAACAGTGCCCAGAGAATTAAAGTCATCCAAAGCAGGAGGTTTGCTCTGAGGAGGAGCAGAAGAAGGATCAGGATTTGGTGAGGCTTCCTGCTTCTTACTGATCCAGCTGGAGAAGTGGGTGAGTCTGGTGAAGACGCTGGGGCTTATGGGCTGGCAGCAAGCCAAGCTCCAGCTGGACAGCCCCATCAGAAACCAGGTATTGTTCAGCTTGCAGACAAGGGGACCTCCAGAATCTCCCTGAGGAAAAAAAGGGCACAAGACATAGAGAGACACACATTGTTTAGGCATGTGAAGAGACTATACTTGTCCTTCACCAGAGTGGAGTTTAGGAGGCATGTGTCAAGATGGGTTCACACTTAAGTTGTTCTAATCAGAATCACTTGGGCGATTTGAAAAGTCCAAATATAGGGTCCCACTGCAGACCTCCTGGATAATAAGTAAATAAATAATAAATAAATAAATAAATTTAGAGTGAGGCCTGGAGCTTATTTCACAAAGTTTTGGAAGAGACCCTGAGCTTCCCTCTACATTGGCAGTCATAAACCTATAAGAATGCACATGGATCCCAGCTGGTATGGCTCAGTGGTTGAGCATCAACCTGAACCAGAAGGTCAAGATTCAATTCCTGGTCAGGCCAAATGCACAGGTTATGGGCTCAATCCCCAGTGTGGGGTGTGCAGGAGGCAGCTAATCAATGATTCTCTCTCATCATTGATGTTTCCATCTCTCTTTCCCTCTCCCTTCCTCTCCGAAATCAATAAAAAATTTTATATATCAATATATAGCTCATGGAGACCTCTGGAAACCCTCTTGTCCTCCCAACTCTATGTGGGAGAAGGTATCATCTGAGATTCCAAGGGGCAACTTGTGGCAGGCCTGGGGGCCTGGCCTGCAGACCTCTGGCTAAATACTCAGCCAGTTACTGAACCCACCTGAACCTCTGATATTGCCTTGGTTGGAGTTTCAGGACAGCCCAAGAGTTCTAGAAGAATTCTGGGGGCTCAAATGCAAGGTACTTGTAATCCTTTTATTTTACAGGCCATAAAGTGGGAACCAAAGGAACACAGTAGCTCTCCAGCTTTCTGTTGAATAAACATGATGGAGCACCCTGTATGTTCAGGACATAGAGAGGTGGCATATAATACTGACACAGACAATATATCACATATATGCAGATGCAAGATGTAGAACAAAAGCATCTAGTGGATGGAAAAGGGCTGCTCTAACTGGGCCATCAGAGAGCTTCTCTGAACTAAGATTGGAGAAATGAGCAAGGCCTGGCTCTGTGAGATGCAGGCAGAGGTAGCCAGTGTGCTTGGTGTGCAGAAGGCGGAGCAGTGGACAGACCAGCCTTCATGAGTGGTGTGTGTGTGTGTGTGTGTGTGTGTGTGTGTGTGTAGGGTATACTAAATGACACTCAGCAGGGAAGTGATGTGACCTGATACAGATTCTAAAAGAATGGTAGGATGGTTCTGAGACTGGGTAAATACAACCAGTAGCAGGGCATGAATCAGCATAGGGAGACCAGTCAGGATGCTACTGTAGCAGAAAGGTTTATGGAGACAGAAAAGAAATGGTTAGGCCCAGGACTGGCAATAACTAACCCTTTATCTCCATCTAAGAAAAAAAAAAAAAAAAAAAAGGAGCAACACAAGAAGCCAGAATGAGTGCTGAGTGGTGGCTCCTTGGTGTTTGGAGGTCAGAAAGAGGAGGAAAGCATGAGATACAGGAAGAGCCACCCTTGGAGTCTGAGGGAAGCACTAAGGTGTGCTGCTGAGCACCACAGGGGAAGGAGGTCTGATGTTGGATGGCAGCCCTGTGAGACAGAGAAGGGCACAAAAACTTCATGTGATGGGCTAAGGTAAGAAGGAGAAATGTGGAAGGAAGAGAGGGCAAGTGCAGACAGCCCTGTGGTGAGCCCTGCTGGGGTAGTGGCCTGAGAATCATGACAATGGGCAGGGGGTTAGGGGAGGAAAGAAGATGCACATAAGGTGTTTTAAGGTGGGAATCATGGCAGTATATATCTGAGCTGTTTGGAGATGGCTAGGGAGAGAGAGAAAGCTGGAAAGAAGGTGCAAGAGAGGGAGAAAAGACTGTAGGAGGAATCTTGTAGTGGCCACAGCTCCAAAGGAGGGCATGGCTTTTCCAAGTTTGACTGTGGTCTCACTACCTTGCATTGGACTATCTACTTCCCTCTCTGGGCCTCGGTTTCTCCACCATAAAATGGAAAGATTGCACAGAGTAAGAGAAGACATTCATAATACATAAATCCATAATAGCTAATTCAATAGGAAAGACAGAAGGTCCCATAGAAATAATGGCAAAAAACTTGAATATACACTGTACAAAAAGGCAATACACACATATAAAAAAAAGTGTTTATCTTCATCATTCACCAGAAAAATGAGAATTAAAAATCACATGCAATGTTTAAAAAGAAAATTGTGGACCATATAAAGTACTGGTGGTAATGTAGAGCAACCTAAACTTTTACCTGATATAGGAGTCAGATTGGAACACATAGGTTGTAAATCTGCCCTACAGTATTTATGGCAGGAACATGTACCTATTATATGGCTCAGTAATTCTGCTCCCAACCAAAGTGTGAACCCATGTGCACCAATATACATACACTAGGATGTTCACAGAATTGCTACTTGTAATAGTCTCATGTGGAAACTACCTAAATGCCACCAACACTAGAATGGATATATAAAATGATACTATATTCACACAGTGGAACACTATTCAGCAATAAGATAATATAAACCAGGAGAGAGTACAAAATGACGATGGAATAGATGGATGTGTACCAAGCCTTGTTCCGGACCAGATAGAACAAGCAGCTGAAATGAGTAACACCCACTCCAAATTGGCAAAGGAGACTCAGCTGGTAAGACAATTTGCAGCAAGGAAGGGCAGAAGACCCCTGGAGAAAGTTAAAATCAAGGATCTGGTCTGGAGAGATCTGCCAGACCTCCAAGCCCAGAGGGTCAGAAGGAAACTGCATGACACCTACTTATTTCCCTTGGAATAGGTACAGTGTCTGACTGTGGAAAGGAGGTCCACAAGACTACTGATGGCTAGGGTCAATAACACCCCAGACCCAGACACAGTCATGAAAAACTGAGCCCAGAGGGGGCAGCTTGAAGGGCTGATCAGAACACACAGTGCTGGCAGGAGAGGGGCTCACAGAGGCCCTCTCTATCGCCTTTGTTTTCTTCACTGAACCAGTTCATTGGACCTTCTGAATAAGGACACTCACCCATGGCTGAGGTGCAGGAGAAGGTTCGGACTTGTGAAGTCTGGGGAGAGGCTGGGAAGGGGAAAGGGTCCAGGAGAAGTGGCAGTGAGTCTGGAGCTGATTAATACCTGAGCCCAGGACCTGGGCAGCCATTTTCTCATGAAGAGATGGCCCCTCTGTCCAGTCTCCAGGTAACCAATACAGCCACACACAGAATATACCCTGACTGGTACAAAAGATTAAAAAAAAAATCTGAATAGTCCCTGTCCGTAGGGATTGGTTTAAAGAGAGGCCTTTGGTTCCAGCAACAGGAAACTGAGAAACCACACAGAGTACAGAAGACTGGAATCTTAAGCCAGCCAAAGGAACAACACTTCACTTTTTCAATTTTATTTTATTATTATTTTGTTATCTCTTTTTTCTTTTTTTTTCTTTGTTTCTTTATTTTATATTTTTGCATTATTTTTCTATCATTTTATTTTATTTGTTATTTCTTTTATTTATTTATTTTATTAAGGTATTATATGTGTACATATCTGACAATTGCACCCCGCACCCCATTCCAATACATGCCCTTACTCCCCCCCTCCCGCAATGTTTTTTATCCATTGGTTATTCTTATATACATGCATATAAATCCTTCATTTGATCTATCTCCCCCACCTCTCCCTAACCTTCCTGCTTTAATTTGACAGTCTGTTTGATGCTTTACTGCCTATGTATATACCTTTTTGTTCATCAGTTTATAATGGTTTGTTTTTTTTTATCCACAAATGAGTGAGATCATGGGGTATTTTTCTTTCATAAACTGTCTTATTTTACTTAGCATAACACTCTCCAGTTCCATCCAGGTTGCTGCAAATGGTAAGAATTCCTTTTTTTTATGGCAGCATAGTATTCCATTGTGTATTTCTGATCCAGTCATCGGCTGATGAGCACCTAGGCTGTTTCCAAACCTCAGCTATTGTAAATTATGCTGCTATGAACATAGAGGTGCATATATCCTTTTTGATTTGTGTTTCTAGTTTCTCAGGATATATTCCTAGGAGTGGGATTACTTGGTCAAATAGAAGTTCCATTTTCAGTTTTTTGAGGAAACTCCATACTGTTCTCCACAGTGGCTACACCAGTCTGCATTCTCACCAGCAGTGCACGAGGGTTCCTTTTTCTCCACATCCTCGCCAACACTTGTCGTTTGTTGATTGTTCATGATAACTATTCTGACAGGTGTAAGATGGTAACTCATTGTCATTTTGATTTGCATCTCTCAGATAATTAGTGACCTTGAGCATGTTTTCATGTGCCTCTTAGCCTTCCTTCTGTCTTCTTTTGAAAAGATTTTATTTAGGTCCATTGCCCATTTTTTAATTGGATCATTCATTTTCTTTTATTGAGTTGTATAAGCTGTCTATAGATGTTGGAGATTAGGCCTTTAACAGTGATAACATTTGCAAATATGTTCTCCCATACAGTGGGCTTTCTTGTTGTTTTGTTGATGGTTTCTTTTGCTGTAAAAAAGCTTTTTATTTTGATGTAGTCCCATTTGTTTATTTTCTCTTTAGCTTCCATTGCTCTAGGGGCAGTATCAGTGAAGAAGTTCTTTTGGCATTTGTGTGAGATTTTGCTGCCTATAGATTTCTCTTGTATTTTTATGGTTTTCTGTCTTATGTTTAAGTCCTGTATCCATGTTGAGTTTATTTTTGTGTATGGCTTTGTTTTGTTTTTTTGCATATATATGTCCAATTTTCCCAGCACCATTTATTGAAGAGACTGTCTTGACTCCGTTGTATGTTTATGCCTCCTTTGTCAAATACTAATTAAGCATAGTGGTTTGGGTCGATTTCTGGATTCTCTGTTCTATTCCATTGATCTATCTGTCTGTTCTTGTGCCAGTACCATGCTGTTTTGAGAACTGTAGCTTTGTAATACAGCTTGAAATGTGGTATTGAGATCCCTCCTACTTTATTCTTCTTTATCAGGATTGCTGTGGCTA